TATAAGCCTTAAAACTTTCTAAATATTCCTTTCTATGTAGTTCAGGGACCATTGCCTGAACCTGCTTTGTCCTGTATTCCATGCCACCACTGGTGGAGGTCTTCACTGCACTTCTCCCTGATCCTCCATCAAGTCCCACCACTCCTCATTTTAAAATGTTTTATTATGTGACCAAGTCTAGAGCCAAAAACAGAAGTCAATATCCAGATCATGTCAATATCCAGATGTTGTTGTTTGTTGTTGTTAAGTGTGAAGAGTCTGTTCCAAATCATAGTTAACCACTACAGGGTTTCCAAGGAGCAGCTGGTTGGTTTGAACTGCCAACCTTGTGGTTCAAAGTCCAATTCAGACCCTACAGTGCCACACTAGAGTTCATCCAGGTGGTAGATAATGAATATTTTTAGAAATTCAGGAGCAAGCATAACTTTGTTTCCTAGCTAATTGTTCAATAAATGAAAGACATTGATTAAACTGACAAGAAATGACAGCTATTTTTTTCTTTTTTTAAAATCACATTTTTAAGACTTTCCAGGGAGGGAGAGATCATAGTTGCTGAAGTTTCTGAACTGGTACAAATAAGATGGAAAGCAATTGTCCTTGATCTACTCTGTTCCCTACAGAGACAGCATATCCATATTTTATAAAATGGAGATAAAGAATGAATGTCTAAAGTATGTGATTCCTTTGAGAAATAACACTCATGGTCATCTGGTGCCTGTCAAGGTAGTTGGAGATAAGAACAAATAGGATTGTATTTGAGGGCTCTGTTGCCTAAAGGTGTTTGGGAGTTTGTTTTGATTGCTGTGCAGTGTCTCTCACATCTTGGTGAAAACTCTGATATGACTCTGAGACTATACTTAAAAAGCTGAGATGTGTCCTGCAGAGCTGATGGGGCCAGAGGGACCAAGAAATGAGGATAAGAGGAAAGATAAGCATTTCTTTCCTAAAACTCTGTATCAGCTACTAAAACCATCTGTGCAATTACCAAACAAAAAACAAATGTACAGAAAAAAAGACAAACATGCAGAGAAAGGAAAACAACAGTCAGACAGCATTTAAGTGTAGGATATTTCATTTGAAAATATCTTCTGTAAAAAGCAATTATAGATATTGAAGTCCTGATGTGGTGCTGTTAGATAAGCACTGGAGTGCTAACCACAAGTTTGGCACTTCAAAAACACCAGCCACTCCTTGGAAATCCTCTACAGTTTTGCTGTGAGTTGGAACCAACTTGACAGCACTTAACAACAACAACAACAGCAACACAGATATTGGTGATGGTTGCATACATGATTGATGTCACTGAACTGTATACATGAACACTGTTGATTTGGCAAACATTATGTTACATATATATTTATAAAAATAACAAAGCAACATAAACAGATCTAGAGATTACAAAAGCAAATTTGTATTTCTCTGGCATGCAGTAGTATCTGCAGTGCATCCAGACTTTGTACCTTTCATATAGAAATTTGGTGCATATGCTACATTCTTGGAGAAATTTTAAATATTTGAGGAAAACCCTCAATCATTTTTGGTTATTATAAGTTTGTAGACTGTATATATGTAGCACACATCAGTGATCTGCCCAGGTCTCCTAGAAGCTCTTGTATTGATTTTGTATGTAAATCTCCCAAACCACCCCCTAGTTTCAAGGACTGTCCTATGTGACTAGAGTTGCTCTCTCCTCAAGCATAGAGAGCACGGCCATGCCTTGGGCCTATGACCCCCTAAAGTGGCCTGCCACCAATATTTGAATGGAACAGAAGAATGAAAGCCCAGCATTTTTCCTAAAAGAAGGAAAACATTACTATTATTTCTATTTCACAGACCTCTGTGGGATCAGGCTAAGGCTGGGATATTGCTTGGAATAGCAATCTTGAATGATTTCTTCCCCTTCCCTTCTCTGTTTCCCATTCTCCTTTAAGGATTTCTCCTGGAACAATTCTTTAATAAATCCCTTGCAGGTAAATCTTCACCTCAGTATCTGTTTCTGGGACATCTCCTCCTACTCACCTGATTGGTCTGAGAACCATCTTGAGCATCACCTCAAAATAAGTATTCATTGCATGTTGTTGTTGTTAAGTTCCCTCAGCTCAATTCCAACTCATAGCAATCCTGTATAGGGTTTTCAAGGAGTGGCTGGTGTGTTTGAACCACCAGTCTTGTGATTCATGCTCCAGTGTTTATCCTACAGCATCACACCAGGTAGATACTGTGAAAATAGGTAGGTCTTTCCATACACAGATACTAGAGTGCACTAGGATAGTAGGATGTTTCTGTTTTGGTACATACAAATTTAAATTTCATGCACAAAAAGTACTGTGGCTGGACAAAGGGATAATTAAATAAATGTTCTTGCTGTCCAAACAAAGGATTACTCAATGTATTCTATAACAAAATAGATATTTTTGAAGATTTTCTAATAAGATGGTTTTCAAAACAATCAAAATAATAAGATTGGTTTTCAGTTAAGTGCAGTTTCTGTTTAAAAGTATATTCAAATTCTTAATAGCTTCTTTTTTTTAATCATGATTTTTATGTAGAGTACATGGGAGTAGGACACCAAATCTAATAAACTATATTTATTTCTTATATGATCAATTGCTAATATTAATGTTAAACCAACTATTTTGTAGAAATAAAATGATGTCATTATTTAACTTTTTATAGATAGAAAAACTGCTTCATCAACATCCAGAAGTCATCCAAATTCTAGTTACAGTGAAGATAACTCTTCATTGGAGGGCAGGGATGCCCACACTGAAAACAGTTCAGAAGAAAGTGCCAGAAGCTCATCTTCTCGGGAGCTGAGTGAAAATGATGAACCTGGAAAATCCCATCTTCTAATTGACAAATTCCTAGGAATAGAAACTCAAGATCAAGAAATAATTAAAGCAGATAAGGAGATCGAGACAGTGCCAACAGAGGAAAACTCTGATAATGTTCTTAAAAAGAAAGTGGAGAAGAGGCCCCAAATGATTGCAGAGGGCATATCTGTGAAATCCAAGATGCAGAATTCTAAGACAGAAAAGGAAAAGGCTGAGAGTAAGCTTTGGGAAAGAAGCCCTACTAAGGCAAAGGACGGAAAGGCAGGTCCCCTTGGGGTGGAGAAAGAAGGTGGTAAGTATGGCATTGAGTTGACCACCATTGCCCTCATGCATGGAAGTTGACTTGGCTATTGCAGTCTGCCTAAGCTTGGGGTGTAAAATTGTGATAATGCCAGAGACATTACTTTCTTTTCCTATTTGTCACATAATCATACATGTATTTTCAGCTTGCTGTTTTCCTCCTATTGCATTTTGAAAATTACTTGATTAATCTTTTATAGCCTGCTTCATATTTTCTGTAAATTATTTCCTCTATTAATTCTATCTCAAGAATCAAATAAAGCACAATACATGTCTGAAGACAAGGATATGTGTGGCTTTGTAGAGGTTATTTAATACTAGCAATACTACTTGATCTTAGCTACATATGCGTTTACATAAGCATAGTTGACATTGATTAGCTGCTTACTACACTGTCCTTTAAAACAACAACAACAAACACTGTCCTAAATGTCTACATGTATTAGCTCATCTAATCCTTAGATCAGTCCAGTCTTCCTCTAATTAGGTTACATCATCATCATCTCTTTTATGCTAATGAAGAAAATGTGGCTGGGAGAGGTTAAATAATTTCTAACAACTATAGCTAATTGATAAAGAAGTTGGTAGAATTCTTCTATTTCATCCTTACTGGCTTTCATGGTTGGTGCATAAATTTGAATAATAGTGGTATTAACTGGGCTTCCCTGTAGGTACGTGGATATTATCATATTGCAGACAGCATTGTACCTCCTGACTGATCTGGATATGTTCTTTTTGACGATGAATGCAGCACCATTCCTTTTCAATTTGTCATTCAATGCATAGTAAAACATGTGGTTGTCAGATTCAAAATGGCCAATACCAGTCCATTTCAGCTCACTAATGCCTAAGATATTGATGTTTATGCATTCCATTTCATTTTTGACAACTTCCAATTTTCCCCCATTCGTACTTCATACATTCCATGTTCTGATTCTCAGTGAATGTTTGCAGCTGTTTCTCTTCATTTTGAGTTGTGCCCCATCAGTAAGTGAAGGTCCCGCGGGTTTTTCTCCCACAGGCTTTACTCATTTGCGTTACCAGGGTCAACTCTACTTTGAGAAGTCAGCTCTTCTCCAGTCGCATTTTGAGTGCCTTCCAACCTGAGAGGCTCATTTTCTGGCACTATAGCTGACAGTGTTTTTCTGGTATTCATAAGGTTTTCAGTGACTAAATATTCAGAAGTAGTTCATCACTCCTTCTTCCTAGTCTCTGTCTTTGTCTGGAAGCTCATCTCAAACCTGTCCACTATGAGTGACCCTGCTGGTATTTAAAATACTGGTGGCATAGCTTTCAGAATCACAGCAACTCACAAGTATGAGTATTCCGGAACACTTAATTGTGCTCATGTGGAATCTGTACCTGGACCAAGAGGCAGTGGTTTGAACAGAACATGGGAACACTGAATGCTTTAAAATTAAGAAAGGTATGTGAAAAGGTTGTATCCTTTCACCATACTTATTCAACCTGTACGTTGAGCAAATACTACAAGAAGCTGGGTTCTATGAAGTAAAACGTGGCATCAGGATTGGAGGAAGTCTCATTAGCAACCTGCAATATGCAGATGGTACAAACTTGCTTGCTGAAAGTGAAGAGGACTTAAAACATTTACTGATGAAGATCATAGAGCACAGCCTTCGGTATGGATTACATCTTAATGTGAAGAAAACAAAAATCCTCACCACTGGACCAATAAACAACATTCTTATTAATGGAGAAAAGATTGAAGTTGTCAAAGTCTTCATTCTTCTTAATCAACTATGAACACTCATGGAATCAGCAGTCAAGAAAATAAATGACGTATTACATTAGGCAAATCTGCTATACAAGACCTTTTAAAAGTGTTGAAGAGCCAAGATGTCAACTTGAGGACTAAAGTGCGCCTGACACAAGGTATTTTCAATAACCTCATATGTGTGCGAAAGCTGGACAGTGAATAAGGAAGACTGTAGAAGAATTGATGCTTTTAAGTTATGGTGTTGGAGAAGAATATTGAAAGTGCCATGGGCTGCCAAAAGGATCAATAGATCCATTTTGGAAGAAGTGCAGCCAGTGTTCCTTGGAGGCTAAGATGGCCAAATCTCATCTCTCATATTTCAGACATATTGTCAGGAGGGACCAGCCACTGGAGAAGGATATCATGTTTGATAAGGTGGAGGGTCAGAGAAAAAGAGGCAGACCCCCAATGAGATGGATTGGCCAAGTGGCAGCATCAATGGACTCAAGCATGGCAACAGTAGTGAGGTTGTCCCAGGATCAGGCAATGTTTCATTCTGCTGTGCATAAGGTCGCTATGGGTCAGTACCGACTTGATGGCACCTAACAACAACAACAACATATAGCTAATAAAAATAACCTTTTAGTGGGTTAAGTATTGACCTGCTAATCACAAAGTCAACAGTTTGAGTCAACCAGGTGCTCTGCAGGAGAAAGATGAGAGACTCTCTGCACCTGTAAAGGTGTATAGCTGCAGAAACCCTATACAGGTTGGCTATGAGTCAAGATCAACTCCCTGGTACACCACAACCACTACCACCATATAGCTAATAAGATCCAGTCCCAGGATTTAAATACAGGTTGAATGGTTCCAGAGTTTCCAATAATTTCCTATTCTATCTGTGTAATTTCGATTAAAAAATGAAATTTTTATTTAAAATTTCAAACGTCCTATTGAGGTCTTCTTTGAATTCATGGGTTTCCTGGATATTCACATGGTTCCATTTGGCATGGGAAAGAGTGAGGAGTGTCAGAACAATCAGTCCTCAGTACCTTTGAAAAATAGTTCTTATACTGTTCTCAACTTTAGGAACATTAAAGAATGGGATTGTGTCCTGTGGACAGAGTAGTAGGGTGGTGCCTGTCAGAGACCTGACTATCAGATAAACACCTGTGTTTTCTAATGGGTACCAGGGTCTTTTCCTTGCTCTCTCTCATCTATCTTCTTCTGCCAACATGATACACATTCTTCCTGGTTCCAAGATATACTTTTTTTTTTTACATGTTAATATTCTGAAATTCAGATGTGTTTTAAAATTTATGAATACTTTCAGTGTCTATGATATTTATTTTACAAGCCCATTGCCATTAAGTCATTTCTGATTCATAGTGACCCTACAACCTACAGTACCAATAGAGTTTCTAGGGTCTAAATATTTACCTCAGCAGACTGTCATACCTTTCTTCTGCAGATCAGCTGGTAGCTTCTGACCATCAAGTTTTCAGTTAGCAACTGAGAGCTTAACCATTACACAACCAGGGCTCCTCAATGTGTTTTTAGGACCTTAAAATCTGTTATTAAACTACAAGGAACTGCGTCTAAGAATTAAGGACATTGAATAAGTATCCTTTAACTCAAGTTCTATGATAAAGGCAGCATGGTCTATTGTATAACAGGGACTTCCACTCATGAAATTTTAGAAGGAAGGACTGGCACACACATAAGTGGACAAGCATCAGTAGTGTTAAGTAAAATCAGAGAGAATACAGAATGCAATGGGATTTCAAAGGAAGAGAAGTTCCATTAGGTTAAGGACAGCTTGAAAAGTTTGATGAAGTAGGTGCTTGAAGAAGACTTTAAAAGTTAGGGAAGGCATTGAAAGTGAAATGCAGGGAGATAACTGCATTCCAGATAATGGGGTATAACAAGAGATGGGAGTTTGGCTTAAGTTACTGAAACTAATTCTAGAATGGAGTTTGGCAAAGCATGGCCGCTGGGCCAAATCCTGCCTGCCATCTGTTTCTATATAGCCTGCAAACTACAAATGATTTATATATTTTTTAATGGTTACAAAATGTCAAAAGAATATTTCATAATGTGGAGATTTTATAAAATACAAATTTCAGTGTCTATGAACAAAGTTTTATTGGAACACAGCTATACCCATTTGTTTACATATTAATGATGGCTGCTTTTTACTCGAATTACAACATTTAGTTGATGCAACAGAGACCCTCATGGTCCAGAAGACTGAAGTATTTTCTATCTGACCTTTTACAGAAAAAATCTGCCAACATTTGTCCTAGAATTATTGCACAAAGATTCCCAATATTTTCAAAAAGACTTCATTATGTATTTGTCAATTATCTTGTTAAAGTATATATGAAAACCTTTTATAGAATAATTCAAATTTGTTCTTGGATTTCATCATTAAATTCTTAGTCACAAAATGTATAATCTATAAAATTGGTACAATTTGGCAAGCTGCTACTCAAATAAGGTTGTTGTTGTTATGTGCTGTGGAGTCATTTCTGATTCACAGCTACCCTCTATAGGTGGTTGGTTATGTGCCGTGGAGTTGGTTCTGACTCACAGCGACCCTGTACAGGGTTTCCGAGGCTGTACATCTTTATGGGAGCAGAAAGCCTCATCTTTCTCCCACAGAACAGCTGGTAGTTTCAAACTGCTGACCCTGAGGATAGCAGCCCAATTCATAACCACTATGCTACCAGAACTTCTCAATTTCAGTAGTAAAATTAATTTGAGATTTTTCTGTTTTCATTTCAGAACACTAAATTCTTTACCTGGATTTATGCAAACAAACATCTCTTTGTAAAATAGAGTGCATGTAATGCGGGTTGTAATTAGGTCATGGCAAAATAGAATAGATGACAGACTATGATCTTATCACCTAGAAGACAGCAGTTTTATTTGTTTTAATCTATTTGTTTTGAAGTTGTGAAGCTCAAACTACATTGGTTTATTTTTCTCAGATACATTGGGGATCCTGTATTCTTGACCTGATAATATCTATAGTTTTAAAATATTTTGCTATCCTTTCACTAGGTGCATTTAATACTAGATGGTAAGTTTGTTACCATTTATCTTTGTTTATCTCTTTCATATGTACTGTCTTTTTATTGTCTATTTTTCATTAACAGCTTATTATATACACACGAAATAACATTTAAAAATAAAGAAACAGATTTTAGGAAAGTTACCCATAGGTTTATGCCATAAAAAATAATAATTTCAGCATTTGGTCAAGATTTTTATTTCTAAGCTTAGGTTTTACAAAATGGAGTGACATAGTTTTATAAAATTTATAATCTGATTTTTATTCTTAATATTTTAAGAATCTCATATATTACTAGGTCATTTTTATAATCATGTTTAAAGCCTGATTATTATCTGATCCTTTGGCTTTTTCAGAATTAACCATTTCCCTATTCCTATTGGTCATTTTTTTTTCCTATTTTCACTATTATCGATAATGTTTTCATGAGTATTTTATTTCCTAAGGCAATAACATTTAAATATTTATTTTCTTAGGATAGCTTCCAAGACACATAATTTCTGCATCAAAGGTTATAGACATTTTAACGTTTTAATTTGGCCACTGAAAGAATGGCCAAAGTACAGGAATGGTTTTCAAGGTGACAGGAACTTAGGATAAAAGTGGATGTATCTTTACTCTGCCTTTATCAATATAATGGCTTTGTTCTGCCTTCTCTTGGTATTATTTTAAAGGAGAAAAATAGCCTAGGGGTGCATAAAATTCTTAAAGAGAGAGGAAACAAGAAAAGAAAGAAAGGAAAGGAGAAGAACAAAATGAACTCCAAAGAACTAAAAAATAAGTAAATAAAATCAATAAAGAATAAATGCTACTTTGGAACAGTGTCCAGTCTACAAAGTTGCCACCCTCATCATCACTCCTAGACTTTGCTTTTCCTTATAATGAAGTTTATGTTAAAGAGTCTCTGTAAATTCTCAAAACACTCACTTAAATTATGTCCCTAAACAGAAGTTCAAGATTGATTGAAAAAATATCATTTAAATTTTTCGTAAGTCTTTATGACTTATAATATGCATCCTGATGGTTGTTGTTGTTGTTAAGTGCCATCGAGTCGGTTCCTACCCATAGCGACTCTGAACAAGGTTTCCAAGGCTGTAAATCTTTACTGGAGCAGAAAGCTTCATCTTTCTCCCGCGGAGCAGCTGGTAGTTTCGAACTGCTGGCCTTGCGGTTCGCAGCCCGATTCGTAACCACTATGCTACCAGAGCTCCTTATGCATCCTGATTAGGAGATATTAAAGAGCCAACTTTCATATTCCACTTTTGATGACCTAAAATGTAAGATTTATTGAATTGATTTGTTTACTCCAAGACATTTTATATTGATATGACAAGCTATGGACAACATTGAGAAGCATGAGTATTCCAGAACACTTAATTGTACTTCTGAGAAATCTTTACCTGGATCAAGAGGCAGTTGTT